CACACATATATATATAGACGCTGACATACACACAAACACGGACAGACACACACACATTCTAGGTCGACGTTTCATCTGGCGATAAGGACGCTTTAAAGAATGGGTGGGTCGGGGGAGGGGTGGTAAAGGCAGTATTTACTACGTAACCTATAAATAGCCGAACCAGCTCTAACCACTACTTGTACAAAGTAAATGACCTGTACAAATTCCACTTCCCACTTCCCCCTTGGGTATTCTGTTATAATAACAACGCTGTCCAAATCGCCCACCTGTCTAAAACAACCTCTATTTTCCTTCTACTATAGATGGTCGTTCGTCATGAAGAGGCTCTTCTGTATGTTTATGTATGTCCATTTATATATCCATCTATCTATCTATCTGTCTATCTACCTATCTCTCTATCTCTCTATCTATCTATCTAAAAGATAAGATAAGATACATTTATTTGCCCAGATCCTGGCACATTGGTTCGGTCTATCTATCTATGTATCTATCTATCTATCTATATATCTATCTATCTATCTATCTATCTGTCTATCTATCCATCTATCTATCTATCTATCTATCTATATATCTATCTATCTATCTATCTATCTATCTATCTATCTATCTATCTATCTATCTATTCTAATAAGTGCATTATCATATACTGTCGGCAAGCCTTTGAAATGCACTAAGCGTGGAAAAATGTTAGAGGAGAGAAAGAAAAAATTGTACAGAATATGTTTTTAATTTTCCTGCTTTTTCCAGCATGGATTTTGTATTTCGACAACACATTTCTTCAGCACATGCAACCGACACCCCAGATGGAGACATTACACTGAATTATGAAATATTTTCCAAATTTGGGCCTTGTTACATTCTAACAGCTGGCCGACGATGTATAGTAATAATTATGTGTATAGATATAGATAACAGTATAAATGTTCTAGATAGATAGATAGATAGATAGATAAATAGACAGACAGACAGACAGACAGACAGACAGACAGACAGACAGACAGATAGATAGATAGATAGATAGATAGATAGATAGATAGACAGACAGACAGACAGACAGACAGACAGACAGACAGATAGATAGACAGACAGATAGATAGATAGATAGATAGATAGATAGATAGATGTAATATCATTATTGTCTTGTATAATATAACGCATAATAATTATTGTCTTTTAGATCGCCATACCGATAAAACACAATAATATCGTTGATCCGTATCCCCGAGTCGTTTGATAACATTATTATGTCAAACGGACGTAACAGTTCTAAAATTAGTTCTGATCAAGTCGGACTTTGAACTGGACTTTACATCTTACTTGATGTATAGGTCAGTGGATGTTACAAATCAGGGCATTTCCTGACAACAGTTGGCGATAACAAGGGAGATAACAGAGTCTGCCTGCCACCTGGAAGAGAGACAGAGGGTGTACGGTTCACTTATTGGTGGGTTTTTCGTTGGTTCTTTTTTTTTGTGTACTCACCTTCACCAGTCTGCGTTTTAAAATAGTCTAGTTCTTTTATTGATTTACCAATGCGTGAGTAACTCTGCATTGTACTTCTGGGAGAAAGTGATCAAATAAAAATATTTTTTTTCCCAAAAAAATCTTGAGCTTGTAACAAAATAATTAGTACGATAGATGTTTGATAGGAAAAGAGGAGTAAATCATACGAGAGCAACCGCCAACCACCTACGTAGTCCGATAGGGGGAACAATGGGCTTCACTGTTGTTGATAACACAACTAACCTCCATGAAATAATAATACGTAACAGTATATTATACTCGGTGCTTTGTTTGTTTTTTTGTTTTGATGTTTATTCTTGTTTGTTTTTTTTGTTTGTTTGTTTTTTATTGCTTTGCTTCGTTTTGTTTTGTTTTGTCTTTTGTTGAGTTTTTTTGGGGTGAGGGGAGGGAAGCCATGTGCAAACGAGAAACAAGACATACCGTGTTGGGGAATTATGTGTGTGTATCGGTGTGTGTGTGTGTGTGTGTGTGTGTGTGTGTGTGTGTGTGTGTGTGTGTTGTTATGTGAGTGTGTGTGTGTGAGTTTGTGTGTGTGTGCGTATGTGTATGTGTGTGAGTGTGTGTGCAGGTGTGTAGATATGTGTATGTGTGTGGGTGTGTGTTTACATGTG